AGGTGGTATACAGTGCGGGGCTCTGGTGACTATGTCTTGTAACACCTGGTGTGGGGGTCGTTACACCTGGTGTGGGGGTCGTTACACCTGGTGTGGGGGGTCGTTACACCTAGTGAGGGGGAGTCGTTACAACTAGTGCTACCTTCCTTACACCTGGCACAAGACTCAGTCACATGTTCAGTGTTAGTGTAGAAAACATTATTTTAATTTTTTAAGTCATTATGTTAGTCTTACGTCTAACATAATGCGTTTATGGACTGTTTATGGCTTAACTTTAGGTTAGGCCTAGATAAAACAAAGTTTCGTTTTGTTAGGCCTAGATAAAAAAAGTTTCGTTTTGTTAGGCCTAGATAAAACAAAGTTTCGTTTTGTTAGGCCTAGATAAAAAAAAGTTTCGTTTTGTTAGGCCTAGATAAAACAAAGTTTCGCTTGCATCGTATTCTGGCTACAACTTGTAGGGAATGTTCCTTACTGACAACTTAAGGCTTTTCATAATACAAAATGCAGACAACAATTCATTTGCAACAATTATTTATGTTTTGTTTCATTGATTCCCTTCTATCCCTCCCCCTCTCCCTTTCCCCCCACTCCCCATTCCCCCCCCCCATGCCACCCCCCCTCTCCACCCCCCCCCCACCTCCTCCCCTGTTCTACCCTCAACCCCTCCCCCAAATCACTACATGTTAATCACAATGCATATATGTCAATCGCCTTCTCCTCCTCTGGACCACTTATTATTAAGTCTTGTAAGTAGTGGAGACTCAATATTGCGTGGCTAAGTGAACAAGTAATTGGTATGCTTTGGTTCTTGTTATTAGGTCGCTTGGAGAGGGTCGTTTTTGGTACCTGTGTTCACTTGCAAGTGGTAACTGTGGCCACTTACCACTAGATCAAGTGCAAGGAGTAACTACAAGGAAATACAATAAATGAAACACATTCTCAAGGAAGCAACCGGTTGTTTAATTAAATGGCACTGCAGTTGCAAAGTGACCCAAGATAATGAACGAACTTTGAAGGTTAATGTTGAACTTTTGGTTTCTAAGGTGTTATAAGAAGTAAGGAATAAATGAATGAGAGAATGTAGCCTCCTAGGAGTTGATACTGTAGCCTCCTAGGAGTTGATACTGTAGCCTCCTGGGAGTTGATACTGTAGCCTCCTAGGAGCTGATACTGTAGCCTCCTGGGAGCTGATACTGTAGTCTCCTAGGAGTTGATACTGTAGCCTCCTAGGAGTTGATACTGTAGCCTCCTAGGAGCTGATACTGTAGCCTCCTGGGAGCTGATACTGTAGCCTCCTAGGAGCTAATACTGTAGCCTCCTAGGAGCTAATAATGTAGCCTCCTAGGAGCTGATACTGTGGCCACCTAGGAGCTTATACTGTAGCCTCCTGGGAGCTGATACTGTAGCCTCTTAGGAGCTGATACTGTAGCCTCCTAGGAGCTGATACTGTAGCCTCCTGGGAGCTGATACTGTAGCCTCCTAGGAGCTAATACTGTAGCCTCCTAGGAGCTGATACTGTGGCCACCTACGAGCTTATACTGTAGCCTCCTGGGAGCTGATACTGTAGCCTCTTAGGAGCTGATACTGTAGCCTCCTAGGAGCTGATACTGTAGCCTCCTGGGAGCTGATACTGTAGCCTCCTAGGAGCTAATACTGTAGCCTCCTAGGAGCTGATACTGTGGCCACCTAGGAGCTTATACTGTAGCCTCCTGGGAGCTGATACTGTAGCCTCTTAGGAGCTAATACTGTAGCCTCCTAGGAGCTAATACTGTAGCCTCCTGGGAGCTAATACTGTAGCCTCCTGGGAGCTAATACTGTAGCCTCCTAGGAGCTGATACTGTGGCCACCTAGGAGCTTATACTGTAGCCTCCTGGGAGCTGATACTGTAGCCTCTTAGGAGCTGATACTGTGGCCACCTAGGAGCTTATACTGTAGCCTCCTGGGAGCTGATACTGTAGCCTCTTAGGAGCTAATACTGTAGCCTCCTAGGAGCTAATACTGTAGCCTCCTGGGAGCTAATACTGTAGCCTCCTGGGAGGTAATACTGTAGCCTCCTAGGAGCTGATACTGTGGCCACCTAGGAGCTTATACTGTAGCCTCCTGGGAGCTGATACTGTAGCCTCTTAGGAGCTGATACTGTGGCCACCTAGGAGCTTATACTGTAGCCTCCTGGGAGCTGATACTGTAGCCTCTTAGGAGCTGATACTGTAGCCTCTTAGGAGCTGATACTGTAGCCTCTTAGGAGCTGATACTGTAGCCTCCTAGGAGCTAATACTGTAGCCTCCTGGGAGCTAATACTGTGGCCTCCTAGGAGCTAATACTGTAACCCCCTAGCAGTTGATTTTGCAACCTCGCAGCAGCTCTCCTGTGGGGCGTTTCTGCAACTATTCTGTGGTACTTGAATGCAAACTCATAATGTGGTGCATTACATACTTCAAACTTCGTCCGCGAGGGGAAGTTTAATTCACAGACGACAGCTGATCAGAGCAGCTGATTACAACAGCTGACCACAACAGCTGACCATAGCAGTTAATCATTACAGCTAATCACTGATCACAGGTGTCCACAATGGCTGGTCATAGCACCTGTACACAGCAGCTGATCATATCAGTTAATTACAGTGGATGATTACATCACCTGACATCAACTCCTGATCCTAGAAGCTATGTCACAGCAATTCACCACAGCATGGGAACAGAGCAGCAGACCATAATCGGTGGCCACAGCAAGTTCATCACAGCAGCTGGTCAGAGCAGGTTTATCACAGCAGCTGGCCACAGCAAGGTCATCACATCAGCAGCTGACCACATTAGCTGGTTACATTGACTGTTCAAAGCAACAGACCATTCTACCATACGCTGTTACTTGTCAACATGTGTAGTCAACTAAGAAGTGTACTCAGCCAGACATAAGTACTTCCCAGTGACCGTAAGTACTTGCCAGTGACTCGGCTACACCTAAGTACTTGCCAGTGACTACACCCATGCTCGCCATGGCCTGTAACTAATCTTAACACTAGTGGTTTCTCTAGTTCCTGAGCTGGAGCAAGTAAGCTCAGAAAATTACAGAACTTTTGATGCAGTGTAGAGAAACGACAATGAACATAGTGTGTCTGATTATTTATGCTAATCCAGGTGTGTCGTGTGGAGCACCTGGCGGGTCCTTGGAGCTCGAAGCCTCACTGGTGTGGTATTCAACACCCTTTACATTGAAGGTAATGACTGGGAAGGTGTATATATATGAACTCACTACACATGCAGGTAGTGATATTAGAAGATTTAACATCAATACACTCCAGCAGTGAGTGGTGTAATACACAGTTGGGTTCCATTTGCAATGTAGATAAATATGTATGTGTGTTTGAGTGATTTTTGTGTGTTGGCTATGTGTATGAGCATAAATGTATACTGTCTGTGTGTATGTATATAAGTGTATCTGGCCTATTCGTATGTGAATGAGTGTATGCAATCTATGTAAGTAGGTCTGAGTGTTTATAGCTTACATGTATGTCCATGAATGCATGCGAGGGACAAGAATACAAGTACATACAGGCCTATACATAGAGCAATACATGTAGCGTGAAACAGTGACCCCTTAACACCCCCACCATGATAGAGGCGAGGCTGTCCGCTCGCCTCACTACCCACAGGAATTATAGCCACCAGTCACGGAAGTTTCTCCTGGGATTACATCAACAAAATTCCTGTTTACACCAGACTAGCGAAGAGGCTCTGTGGTGGAAAATTTAATTCCCATTTAAGTATTTTGGCTTTTGGCTTTATTTACCCGTCCATTAACCACACGCGCGAATACACACACTCACACACGCACACACACACACACACACACACACACACACGTTGATTGACAGTTGAGAGTTGGGGCCCAAAGAGTCAAAGCTCAACCCCCGCAAGCACAACTAGGTGAGAACACGTACACACACACACACACACACACTGTCACACTCATAAACACACGCACACACACACAAATGTTCACAGGGGCCTTCGTGGCTGAGTGGACAGCTGTTACAACCCACCCTAACAAATTTAGACTGGATACACTTGGATCATTCCTGTGATTGTTAATGCACCTCTTATTATATATATTTTTTCCTGCTGCTGTATTTAAATTGATGCATATATAGGTACAAATGTAATTATATACAAGTGTGTTATAGTATTATTATATTGTATTGTTATATTTTATTTTTTATTCTCGTGAAACTAGTGAGTTGCGTGAGTTAAAACAAGTGTGTGCGTTTGTGTGTTCTCGTCAGAGCAGCCAACCTGTGCGGTGCTTGTTGGCCCTTGTTAGTGTTGCATATATTATGATTATTTTGTGTAGTTGGTAGTTGAACATCTGCGTATGTTCCCTGAGTTGAGTCATTAACCTAAGTGTATATAATGTTTTCATTTCGATACTCCGTTTGGGTTTTAAATTAATGTACAATGTTGGTATTGTTGACCTGTGGTGGAGAGCTTGAGCCGTCTCACTGTTCAGTTAGGTTCTGTAGGGGTCACACGTATTGTGTGTGTGTGCTCTGGGTAATAGTTCCAAGTTCCAAGGACCCTAGAGCGGGTAAGCTGGGGAATGGAAGCTTGGGGCGAGGATCCGGGAAGCTTGAGCTGGGTTAAAAGTCGAAGGAGATACAGCTCGGTGGCCCAACCACTGTGGATAAGACTTGCAGCTGTGGCTTGGTGGGAGGGAAGGTTTCTTATGGTTGCTCGCTGGTGGGTCTTGCAGGAGGCCGGCCAATTCGTCGCGGGCCTGGTGGTGGTGGTGGTCTTGTTTCTAGGTAGTCGTCTTTTTCTTCTTCGTCTGTGTCTTGCTGCGCGAGGACATGGCCGTTCTGTCATTGGAGATTGAAGAGGAGGTCTTGGATGTCGTTGGTGGTGTGGCGATGGTGCTCATACTGAGATTTCCTCGTTCGAAGATTCTGAGGCATCGTCTGTAGCCGGTGGAATTGATGTCTGTTACACAGTCTGGGACAAGCACTGATGCCGTATGGTGGCAGCTGCCGCGGGAGCATTGGTGGAGTTGCTGGTAGGTGTGGACAGTACGTCGGCGAACGCGGCGGCCGAGTTGGAGATGGTAGCAGCGTTGGGGCCTGGAGAGGAAGGTGTCCCCCGTTTGTGTAGCTTGGATCTTGGGTGGTGCTGGAGTCTGAGTGGCGATCGTCTTCGAAGTTGTCCGTATGGTCGTCCGCGAAGTGGAAGTGGAGGCGGTGAAGCTGGCTTTAGAAGCCACGGTTAAGTCCAGCACTCCTTACATTTTCAAAGACAAATTTTCCATGCTTTGCCAAGGAAATTTTTTCCCCACTTCAAGACCCCGGACCAACACAGTGACAGTAGGAGCAAGAACATAGGCATTTAATGGCCCATTATTATCCATTAGGCCATTCATCCTCTTATTCATCTCAATCACGTCCTGTACCACCTCACCGCAAACGAATATAAGCCTTGTCAAAGCATGGACAATTTGTCTTTGAAAATGTAAGGAGTGCCTTGCGAATCGCATCCCTTGGCGTCAGACCATAATAGATTGTGAAAATGAACTTTGGAGAGTTAATTTGTCAACTTCCCTCGACAGTGAAGAAAATATAAGAAATATTGAGAAGATTCGTGTTAGAATCATTAATCATACCGTTTCGGTCATATTCAAAAACATATGTTTACAAAAAGGACTGCTACCAGAATATACTAAATAGGTACCTGGGAGTTAGAGAACTGCTTCCTGGGGATGTGTGTGTGTGTGTGTGTGTTAGAGAGGAACATGTGTAGCAAACATAATAGAGGAAAAATAGATTGGTTAGAAAGGCGGGACCCAAGAACTAATAAATCGATTCTGCTGACACAAATAGTAAATACAAGCTCACGCACACACTCACACGTTCACACACACACACACACACACACACACACACACACACACACACACACACTCGCACGTTCACGCACACACACACACACACTCGCACGTTCACACACACACACACACACACACACACACACACACACACACACACACACACACACACACACACACACACACACACACACACACACACACACACTCGCACGTTCACACACACACACACACACACACACACACACACACACACACTCGCACGTTCACACACACACACACACACACACACACACACACACACACACACACACACACACACACACACACACACACACTCGCACGTTCACACACACACACACACACACACACACACACACACACACACACACACACACACACACACACACACACACACTCGCACGTTCACACACACACACACACACACACACACACACACACACTCGCACGTTCACACACACACACACACACACACACACACACACACACACACTCGCACGTTCACACACACACACACACACACACACACACACACACACACACACACACACACTCGCACGTTCACGCACGCTGTCACACACAAACATGGTCAAGGGAGGAAAGGTGAGACATAAATAACCCTGTGCTCACGACACTTTCGCGTGACGGGGGAGCCTAGACACCAGGCCCCGTCTTTTTTTACATAATGGACGGGAAATTACGTTAAATTACTTGACCAAAATACGGTAAACATTTCTTCTCTGAATAAATAATAAACACAAGAGCGAATTTGTAATGAAAGAAGGTTTAACTCGCTCTTTTATTGAACGTGACATGACGTTGAAGGATTTTTTATGGAAGGCACGACCCGAGTGGAAATATATGCATATATAATATATATAATATATATGAGTTTATACAGAGCTAAGTGTTTGAAGGGAAGGGGAACTCAACGTAATATATACGATGCTGTAAGGGATGAATATACGTCACTTAACGACGTTACGTACCATCAAATATACAACGTTTGCCGTTATTGATAAACGTCGGATTTTGCGTTACAAAACAGTTGCTGCGCCAAACTTGATGCATTACTCATGAGTTGCCTGAGAATGGGTTTAGTACAGACACTTTCAGATTGATTAATTTGAGTATTTACAAGGAAAAACAATGTTGTGTTTTGGTACTATTCCTTACCTGGGGCGCTGCAGGTGTGTACAGGTGTACTACAGGTGTGTTAACCCTTCGTTATCATCTCGTTAACCCTCGTTAACCATCGTTAACCCTTGTCGACCCCCTTATAAGGTCTCACCCGACTTGTTCTCCATGATGAAGCAAGATAGCGTTGGTAATGGGTGTGGCCCCGTGGGTAATGGGTGAGGCTCCGTGGGTAATGGGTGTGGCTCCGTGGGTAATGGGTGAGGCTCCGTGGGTAATGGGTGAGGCTCCGTGGGTAATGGGTGTGGCTCCGTAGGTAATGGGTGTGGCTCCGTGGGTAATGGGTGTGGCTCCGTGGGTAATGGGTGTGGCTCCGTGGGTAATGGGTGTGGCTCCGTGGGTAATGGGTGTGGCTCCGTGGGTAATGGGTGGGGCCCCGTGGGTAATGGGCGTGGCTCCGTGGGTAATGGGTGTGGCTCCGTGGGTAATGGGTGTGGCTCCGTGGGTAATGGGTGTGGCTCCGTGGGTAATGGGTGTGGCTCCGTGGGTAATGGGTGTGGCTCCGTGGGTAATGGGTGTGGCTCCGTGGGTAATGGGTGAGGCTCCGTGGGTAATGGGTGTGGCCCCGTGGGTAATGGGTGAGGCTCCGTGGGTAATGGGTGTGGCTCCGTGGGTAATGGGTGTGGCTCCGTGGGTAATGGGTGTGGCTCCGTGGGTAATGGGTGTGGCTCCGTGGGTAATGGGTGTGGCTCCGTGGGTAATGGGTGTGGCTCCATGTGTAACAGGTGTACCTCTGTGTTGCAGGTGTGGGGGCCGACTGGAACAAGGAGTGGACCAAGGGAGAGAAGGAGACAGAGGAAGACTCCGCCGACCTCCATAGATTCGCCATTGAGCACGGTAGGTGTTGTTGTAGTTGTATTAATTGTTGTAGTTTTTGTAGTTGTTGTAGTTGTTTACCTAACAGTGACTTACAGGGGTGAAGATAACTTCTATGACCTCTACTTTCAGTGCCTTTGTATGCGGTACGAGTATTTCCTTAGTTATATCTATTCTTCTCATTTGTGTTTTCACCTTCTATGTCCTCTGGTCCTGTTTTTTTTCTCTCAATCTACGGAGGCTGTCTTTGTGCACCTTGTCTATTCCCGCTTAGTATCTTGTATGTTGCAATCATAGCCTCTCTGTTTCATCCCTCTGGCTGGGTTACGGGACTGTAGGGGGAGGTAGCCATGTTGCTTGTAGGTTGAGATGTTTGTGATGTTGCTGGAGGTTTATTGGTGTTGTTGACAAGAGGTGTTGACATGTTGGTGTTGTGTTTTTTTTGGTTGGTTGTGTTTGGTTTGTGCTGTGTGGAGGTTTTGGTGTAGTTGGTGGTGGCTGTTGTTTCCTGTGTGACGAAGACTGGTTAGTGTGTTGTTTGTGGCTGGTGTTGAGGTACTGCCACCAAGACATAACTTGTAGCTTAAGTGATGTCCTCCTCCCCTCACACGAGAGAGAGAGTTCTCTCTCCCTCACACGAGAGAGAGAATTCTCCCTTCACACAAGAGAGAGAGCTCTCTCCCTCACACGAAAGAGAGAGAGAGTTCTCTCCCTCACACGAGAGAGAGAGAGAGAGAGAGAGTTCTGCCTCTCACAACCTCACAAAAACGTTCGCGTGAGGGCGTCCACACACGGGGTAACCTCTCACATCTCCAGAGAGTGAATCAAAACATTGACCTGAATCGTTGTGAATTCTGTTCCGAGAGTTTGTTTATAGCCGAGCGAAACATCCTGCATCTGTCTGCCCGCTTCTGTCATTTGCTCCAGCTTCTGTATACCAAGTCCTCAACCGGAAGACCAAACACACAGGGAGATCAAATGAGATTCTGCTGCCATAGATTCTCTCTTAAAATTTCAGAATACGGTGGTGGAAAGTTAGTGAGAAAGATGAGAAAAGAGGGAGACACCAGAAATATAATGTATGAGAAGATGTGAAGTTCAGAAGAGCGCAAGAACGCCAAGATCTTCATCCTGCAGCATCAGTTAGCATCTTGTGAGACTCGCAGAGGGAATCTCCAGCAATAAAGAGCACACAGAGTTGCATCACACAAGCGCCATCCTCCCAAATTATCAGTGAGACGCAACCGGGTAATTCATAATTCACGGGAATCCAAACTTGAGACTTATTAAGTGGCTTGTGGTACGAAATGGTTAAAAACGATGGAGACAAACTTAAGGTACGCTTGAAGCTTTGGTTGTGATTGTTTTTAATTATTTTTAACAAATGAGTTGTTTTCGAATATTTGTTATATGATATGGGATAATTTACGATAAGTAACAGCATGACTTAAGAGCAGTAAGAGCATGACTTAAGAGCAGTAAGAGCATAACTTACGGTCAGAAAGTTAGGGAATCAATGTTTTATTCGAGTTCCACAAGAACTTGGTAATGATTGTGTAAGATGCGGGTTAATTGTCTATTTAACCTGCTCCAGATTCCAACCAGCTTCCATCCAAAGACACCACCACCACCACCCCAGACACTACCAACACAGACACCCTCCCACAGACGCCCCCTCCCACAGACGCACCCTCCCACAGACACACCCCCTCCCATAGTACACACGACACATCCAAGGACACATCCTCCACCTTCACAAACAAAGACACAGGCAGTAAACACAGCCCAGCCCGTTGTTTACTGACCAGCCAAGAATTACACTTCAGTCCTGTACACAGCTCAAAACAGGATCAACCTCTGTATATACACAGTGAGGAGCGGCGCACGTCTACCGACCGTGTTTATCCTTGTTCGGTGTAGGGCTTAAGGTCTATCAACCGCGTGAGGGTTATTAAATAAGTGTCTCTGCGTGTCTAAGTGTGTTTTAGATTCATACCGGAGGCGTGTTTCTTAAGAGGGCATATTCTTTAAAGAATCCCAAGCCTCCCTAAACGCGCACTTAAACACACACACACACACACACACAAGCACACATACCCCACTCACACATACATGGAGAAAACCTGTCATTACCACACTGAAAAATCTGATTTCGAATTAAGCGGAACACAAAACTTTACACTGATATTTTCGTGAAGTGGTTCATAAACAGGAGGGTTTGGTGGGTGCATGGGATGGACTTTAGCCTTTGTTTATAAGGCTGAGCCTGAATGCTGGTTCGAATCCCGATAATTTTCTCACACGAGAGTTAAAAAAAAGTGAATTAGAATCACACGTGAAAAACTAAAATTTCAGCAATATTATTAATTATAAAAATAATATTTGTAATTATAAAACATTATTACACCAACGACCCCACTGAATGGTTTAATTAACTCAGTGCTAAATTTTTGTAAAGTGATGGAGTGAACGTGGGGCCATGAGTTACGGCAAGGGGCCATGAGTTACGGTTACGGGGCCATGAGTTACGGCAGGGGGCCATGAGTTACGGCAGGGGCCATGAGTTACGGCAGGGGCCATGAGTTACGGCATAGGGGCCATGAGTTACGGCAGGGGGCCATGAGTTACGGCAGGGGCCATGAGTTACGGTAGGGACCATGAGTTACGGTAGGGGACCATGAGTTACGGCAGGGGGCCATGAGTTACGGCAGGGGGCCATGAGTTACGGCAGGGGGCCATGAGTTACGGCAGGGGGGCCATGAGTTACGGCAGGGGGCCATGAGTTACGGCAGGGGGGCCATGAGTTACGGCAGGGGACCATGAGTTACGGCAGGGACCATGAGTTACGGCAGGGGGGCCATGAGTTACGGCAGGGACCATGAGTTACGGATGGGGGCCATGAGTTACGGCAGGGGGCCATGAGTTACGGCAGGGGGCCATGAGTTACTGTATGAAGCCACGAGTTGAAGTAGGAACCAGGAGTGACGCTAGGAGCCAGGAGTGACGCTAGGAGTGACGCTGGGAGCCAGGAGTAACGCTAAGAGTCAGGAGTGATGCTGGGAGCCAGGAGTGACGCTAGGAGTGACGCTGGTAGCCAGGAGTGACGCTAGGAGTAACGCTGGGAGCCAGGAGTGACGCTAGGAGTGATGCTGGGAGCCAGGAGTGACGCTGGGAGCCACGAGTGACGCTAGGAGTGACGCTGGGAACCAGGAGTGACGCTAAGAGCCAGGAGTGATGCTAGGAGCTAGGAGTGACGTTGGGAGTGACGCTGGGAGCCAGGAGTGACGTTGGGAGTGACGCTGGGAGCCAGGAGTGACGCTAGGAGCCACGAGTGACGTTGGGAGTGACGCTAAGAGCCAGGAGTGATGCTAGGAGCTAGGAGTGACGCTGGGAGTGACGCTGGGAGCCAGGAGTGACGCTAGGAGCCAGGAGTGACGCTAGCAACGTTGAGTAAGACCGCAGAGATAAAACCATTCCCCAACCCTCAGCTTCTAGTCATGCATCTTGTTAACGAGTTTGTTTACAAAGATGACTCGTGTAAACACCCCGAGAGAGAGGGGGGAGGGTAGGGGGGTGGAGGTGAGGTGCTGAGAGGTCTCGAGGGAAGATGAGGGAGTGAGGTAGGGATGATGAGGGATATGGCGAGGAGTTAGGATGACGTGGGTTTGTCACTGGGTGAAGAAGTGGATGATTGAGACTAGGGGAGCAGGGATGGAAGTAGAGGATGGGCTGGTGGATAGGTGGGAGTGAGAGGGATTGGGGAGAGGGAGGCAGGGATTGGTCTGTGATTTGCTAGACTGTGATCTGATCCCAAAAAGTGGGCCCCCCTAGGTACACAAACTTTTATGTGAACTGCAAAGTCTCCCCTTGATGTATTTAGGATGTAATAGAAAATGGGGGGTATTTTCAACATATCATTTTGGGCTTCTATTATTCTCAAGATTTTAAAAGCCTCCAGAATCGTGATAACATGTCAAGTATGAGAGAGAGACAGTTATAGCTGCTCTCGATAGCGTATGCAGTTGTCTGGATGTGATGTTTAGCTGTGGCTATTGTGAGCTAAATAAAAAAAGATATCATCATATTCCATTTCTTTTAATGTTTCTGAATGTTAATTTAGATCTGTTTCTTGGAGGTAAGATTCACGGGTCGTATTTGAGTTCAGTAATGTTTATATTGCTTCCTTGGTCTGTATTGCCCATTAACTCCTTGTTCTCTCTTAACAATTCAGTCATTTACATTAGTTTTCTCTCAAAATATTCTTCCGACACTGGTTATCTCATCTACAAGGTCGTTATCTATCAGCCTCCTCAGTTTATCATCTAAGACATACTGTATTGTTTCCTTAGCAATTGCAACTCAACTTCCTGTTGAATTTTTCTGGTTTGCCATTTGCAACTTTTTATACCACAGAATCAGTTGCCATCGTCGTCTGGCCGGCGATTGCCAGTTTACTGAGCCCTTACCTGTACCCTTACCTGTGCAATATCCAGAGAGCGAGCGGGTTCCTGTTGAACCTTTAACATCCTCAACAGTCTCATTGATCCTTGCCTGGCTAACTATGGTTGCAAGGCCTATTAACGTCCGTAGAGTTATTAGGCTTACCACAATAGCTTACTAACCAGCGGTTCAATAGTTCGAGCCCGGTTCAATAGCATCATGGTATATTTAGATCATGTTAGTTATCTTTCAAATTTCCATAAGAACATAAGAATTAGAAAATTCTAATTGTTATCTTATTGATATCTCCTATTTTTATCTTATTGATATCTCCTATTGTTATCTTATTGATATATCATATTGTTATCTTATTGATATCTCCTATTGTTATCTTATTGATATCTCCTATTGTTATCTCCTATTGATGCCTTCGCTGCTTTATGCATTGCTCAAAAAAGCGAATTTATTTGTTTTTCCACTAAATATATAATGTCAAATAGGTCCATATAAGTTTTTTTATATAGCTTTATATGTTATGATTATATTGCTCTGTGTTTCCATATTAATGGCTTTGTTCTATTTGATAAAGAAATAATGCATTTTACACGTTTAGTAAAGTTAGCCAATTATAAATGATTAACCACTTTTTTTATTTAATTTTCATGAGTTGATTTAAGTGCAAATGTTAATGGATGACAACTAATGCCATTACTGCTACTGTTCCCATTAATGCTACTGTTCCCATTACTGTTACTGTTACCATTACTGTTGCCTTTACTGTTAATGTTAAATACTACTGTTGTTAGTATTAGTCCTACTTCTCTAACTATCACAAGTCCCAGAGATAGTAAAAGTATTGTTACTCCTGGTATTATTACGTGAGAAAAGGAATTTAGTTTGATCTCTATAAATGCATATATCCAACCACGACAGTTTTGAGAATCTGTCCGCGGATGACTGTGGAGCAGAAGTCGCCGCTCTTCAGTTCTGTTATTCCTCTAGCTGTAATAGTGTGATAGATAGATAATAGATAAATAATAGATGGAAGGTAGTGAAAGTACTGCCCACTCACCTTCCTTGTAACTGGGCAGTGCCAACCTTCCTTGTAACTGGCCAGTGCCAACCTTCCTTGTAACTGAGCAATGCCAACCTTCCTTGTAACTGGGCAGTGCCAACCTTCCTTGTAACTGAGCAGTGCCAACCTTCCTTGTAACTGGGCAGTGCCAACCTTCCTTGTAACTGAGCAGTGCCAACCTTCCTTGTAACTGAGCAGTGCCAACCTTCCTTGTAACTGAACAGTGCCAACCTTCCTCTTACAGGTTTATGGACTCCTGACCCACGTGTGTTGCTGGGCCCCTACGAGGAAGAAGCACCCAGAAGGCTAACCAACGCCCGCTTCCTGACCGCTAACAACACCATAACTACCGTCCAGGTCGGTGCCAACGCGGCACTCCGGTGTCAAATCAACGATGTTGCTGAACACGAGACGGTGAGTGGCTGGTGTCAAGCGTGTCACGTACACCTCATGTGACACTTGAAGCATTGTTTTTAATGCCTTACGATGATACATAGAGTAGGAGGGGGTACCCGGCGGTGCCCGGGATAGTAGCTAGACTAAGAGTGTCGTCTCTCAGGTGTCGTGGATCAGACGACGCGATCATCACCTCATCACTCTTGGAAGTCAGACCTACAGCAACGATGATCGCTTCCACGTCTCTCATTCCCCGCCTTTCAAGGTCACCCCGGGCAAGGGCAAGGTGGGCAGGGGGTAGGGCATGGTGGACAGGGGGTATGGCATGGTGGACAGGGGGTATGGCATGGTGGGCAGGGGGTAGGGCATGGTGGGCAGGGGGTATGGCATGGTGGGCAGGGGGTAGGGCATGGTGGGCAGGGGGTATGGCATGGTGGGCAGGGGGTAGGGCATGGTGGGCAGGGGGTATGGCATGGTGGGCAGGGGGAAGGGCAAGGGTGGGGGTGAAGGTAGGGGAAGTAAGGGTAAAAGTAGATCAAGTTGGGGAGGAAAAAATAATCCAACATGATAATTTGATGCATTGATGATTTGATATTGATATAGATGATTTAAATAATATTCTAATCATTTTCTCTTATCTCACAACATCCTCTCCACACACACACACACACACACACACACACACGCACGCACACACACACACACACACACACACACACACACACACGCGCGCACACACACACACACACACACACACACACACACACACACACACACACACACACACACACACACACACACAGGAGTGGACACTACACATCAAGTACGCCCAGACAAGGGACTCGGGTCTCTACGAGTGTCAGCTGTCCGCCCACCCGCCCATGGGTATACTGGCCAACCTCATGGTTATACGTGAGTATGATGGGTATACTCGCCACCCTTGTGAGTATTGGTAGCATTGGAGGTATACAACGTACTAATGTGAAACTGCCATTGCATTCCATTGCTAAGATAATATATAAAACAGTGTCTGGTTAGAGACAGAGGCCCAGAGTAGTAATTCCTCTCTGGACCGCCACACTAAGGCGCAGAAACAGGATATTACCAACACTTTGGTCTTTTGGCAGTGTCAATGAACCTGAAACTCGGCTCATTAAGAAGCCTGAGGCTTTTCTCAAAGGGGGTCAACGGTCTAAGAGGCTATGGAAACAAATGTGTTGACCTATATGACCCAGTTCCCTACACTTGTTGAATTTGCCTGTTTCCATACAAGGGTCTAGGTCTAGTTTAATACGGAGGATGACTTGGAGTAGAAGTTTGTCAGTTTGCAGATATATATATGCTGGAACATGGACTCCCCCTGCACGGGGGAGTCCCCCTCACGGGTGTGAGTTGGGATCACCTCTTGTAATGATTCTTCAGCACCTAGCAAGGGCCGTTCAATCCGCGATTGAGCGCACCAAGATGAACTATTTCTGCTGTTATCGGGGCTGGTTTGGATTCTGCGGTTACAGGAGCATACTACTGATTGAAGGTTTCATTGAAGGTGTGATTGTACATCCCTGTCGAGTCTAGGAGGTGCTCTGGTAGGACGTCTTTTGTACAGTCATTAGATGCAGCGGATGATACGAAGACCTTTGAAGGAATCTTGAAGGCTGTGTGGATTAACAGAGTTACAGCACCACTCCCGTGCCAGGTAAGTCCACTACGGGCTCACCATAGCCCGTGCTGCTTGCAACTTTTATTCAGAGTACCTGAATCTAAAACAACAGCTGTGCGGACACCAAGGTCACCTAATTTGACAGGAAGAGTCGCTTCTTGTGAATCATAGAGAGGAAAGTTGAGGAATTCCTTTAGTATGATGGTCAAAAAGGTGTCATACCCACTTAGTTTGGGGGAGGAGGGGGGGATGGAAACCCTCTGACACCCTTTAAGAGTTGTGGTAATGCTTTCATTGACCAACCAAGCAAATCCTTGCCCAAACGTATTGGTCAACATCAACATAGTGTTAAGTATGGGCAGGAATCAAAATTAATGTTCATTCATTTGCATGATTTTGACCATCTGGTGTGTTGGACTAATTTAAACATCTGCCTTTAGCAGATTTTTTTATTGAGATAAGTATAATTAAAACTAACCTAATTAGATATAGTGATAATGCGTTAAATAAGTGCCTTGGTGTGTGGGAAATTTATAAAAACAAATTGTAAAAAAAAAATCCCTTCCAAGATTCTTGATAATAGTGACACTTAACTTAAGTGAGTCACTTCCATTTCCACGTCTCTAGGTTGATAATAACTGTCCTTTTAATTTCTTTTTATATGCCTTATTTTCCTTTAAAAATGCTTCACTGTGGCATTCCTGTATTACATCATCAGTTTCCCGCATCAATATAAAGAAATATGTTTTGGTAATTTAATGTTGGCCTTTTGTTAAATAATTTAATGTTGGCCTTTTGTTAAAATTGGAATTCTTCTAATAATTGATATTTAAATGAATTTTGTGTAGTGAGTTATTGTGTGGTTTTCGTAAACCAGATGACACCACCATTTCTTTTGTCGTCTCTGCATCTTCTTTTTTATCAGGGTTGTGTCTGTCTGTCTGACAACCTCTTTTCGTGAATAATAAATCGCATTTAGACGATTTATCGCATTTTGGACGATCTGCTACAGGTTGCTTCCTGGGGATGTATGTGTGTGTGTGTGTGTTTTTGCGTGTGTCAGAGAGAAATATATGTTTCTCTCTGACACACGAAACATATATTTCGTGTGTCATCGCGTATCAAAAATATATATTTCATAGAATGATATATATGTTATTTGAGAAATATGTGATGGATTAAAAATAGTGAAACTAAAGCTATTGACAACAGAGAGAAAGAGAGAGAGAGAGAGAGAGAGAGAGAGAGAGACAGAGAACACATTAAAAACAAAGACTCCTCCACAGAGGCAGTGTCAGAGATAACAGGGGGAGGTGACCTCTACGCCCAGGAGGGCAGCGACGTGACCCTCCTATGTCGGCTCAGGAACTACACGGAGCCACCAACCTATGTGTTCTGGTATCATGCAGACCAGATGATCAACTACGACGCCGACAGGCAGGTGAGTTCTTGGGGGGAGGGGGTGACCTTTTGTGACCTTGTGTGGTCTTGTGTGACCTAGTGTGGTCTTGTGGGATCTTGTGTGGTCTTGTGTGGTCTTGTGGGATCTTGTGTGGTCTTGTGTGACCTAGTGTGGTCTTGTGGGATCTTGTGTGGTCTTGTGTGACCTAGTGTGGTCTTGTGGGATCTTGTGTGGTCTTGTGTGGTCTTGTCACCTCGTGTGACCTTGTGTGACCTTGTGTGGTCTTGTGTGACCTAGTGTGGTCTTGTGGGATCTTGTGTGGTCTTGTGTGGTCTTGTCACCTCGTGTGACCCTGTGGCGTTTAGTTAGGATGTTTCTTTCCGTTACTCAATTCTGCGGTAAATTCTCTTTATTTAGTAATAATGACTATAAATTTATACTCGTTAAATAGCTGGAATAAAGAAAATCTTTATTTAAGGAAATAATAATTCTCCTCCACGGTAAGTAGGAACGGTACTGGGAGTTAGAGAACACGGTGAAGTGGGTGTTAGAGAACACGGTGTAGTGGGTGTTAGAGAACATGGTGTAGTGGGTGTTAGAGAACACGGTGAAGTGGGTGTTAGTGAACACGGTGTAGTGGGTGTTAGAGAACACGGTGAAGTGGGTGTTAGAGAACACGGTGAAGTGGGTGTTAGAGAACACGGTGAAGTGGGTGTTATAACAGGAGACACAGTAACTGTGACGGAAGCAACACCGACTGTGAGATTGGAGCAACAATTACTGCAACATGAGAGAGAGACCAATCACAAGAGAGTTGCAGACATGTGAAGGGTCAAGCCATGGAACGAGAGACGAGGGAGATTTGCCAGTCTAACCGAATCATATATATAACCTGCATTTATGAGGTCGTTCTGTTTCTGATTCGAGGTGATGGCCCCCCATAATGTGGTCATGTCAGTGGTTATGATTGGAGTACCTTGTAGGTAAGTGTGGCCCTTACTTTGTTAATGTTTTGAGGGATCTGAGGTGCCAAAGGATGGGGGAAAAGGGGCTATGTATTGCAAGGGATGTTGTGGTATTGTTCTAAATCTTTTCTGGGCACTGTTGTCCGCTGTCTCTCTGTCTCTGTCTCTGTCTCTGTCTGTCTGTCTGTCTCTCTCTCTCTCTCTCTCTCTCTCTCTCTCTCTCTCTCTCTCTCTCTCTCTCTCTCTCTCTCTCTCTCTCTCTCTCTCTCTCTCTCTCTCTCTCAAGCCTAAAGACTTCCCTCATCCTGATATTTATCTCACTCGTATCTTCCTACTCCAAAAACCTTTCCTCACCGCAATATTCCACATCTTTCAGCTAATCCTCGCTACCAGTCTCCCTCTCTCCATTATTCTTTATCTCACCACCTAGCTATCATTCTTTGTCATATATTCCAATGTACTAATTTTACCTTGCCTTTAACTGTTCTTTATTCATGGCTTCCCTCCTACCCAGCATCCTCCTCCCTCTATTGATATTAAAATCTTAGAAGATTTACCTCTCCTTTTTCCCCTTCTTTGCTCCTAATCCTTCCCCTACGCCCCCTATTTCGTTCACTAACCATAATATTGGTGACATTTTCATTCTAATTTCATTCATGAGGCTTCGTTAAATCACTGTTACCATTAATTAAAATTGGTGTGTGGCCCAATCCACATTCCTCGTCTCACGTGACGGTGATTGGGTCACGAATCTTTACTACATTTAGTTTTACACACAGCAATCACAATAGCGTGATGTATCAAATGAACAAATCCACAAGGGCCGTGCCAAGGATTCGAACGTACGTCCGAAAGCATCCCAGACGCTGCCTTAATCGACTGAGCTACGACATGGTATAAGAATTTCTGGTTGCAATTCTTCTACCATGTCGTAGCTCAGTCGATTAAGACAGCGTCTGGGATGCTCTCGGACGCAGGTTCGAATCCTTCTCACGGCCCTTGAGGATTTGAACATTTAGCTTTTTTCCTCCTGGAATGGAAGTTAAAAAGCTAGCTCACCTAGGCTAATTTTAACGTTACATCAGCTTCATGTTAAATGCATTACTTTGAAGGTATCAACAGTTTCGGAGCCAGATGGCTGGTAAATACAGGTTAATTATACTGTATAGATTAAGCTAATTGGTTATCATTGGCAAATAAATTACAGCTCAAATTTAGCCTGTTTTAATTTTTTTAACTTATATTTTCATTAAAATTTTTTGCAGTCACATTTTTTTTACCGCAATTCATCAAATAAAGTTAACTGTACCTCACAGCAGCGGTCCTGATAAGAGGATTTACAATACTGTTTTGCGTTGGTGTATGGGTTTTGTTGCTGTGTTGCGTTGGTGTATAGTTGTGTTGCTGTGTTGCGTTGGTGTATAGTTGTGTTGCAGTGTTGCGTTGGTGTATAGTTGTGTTGCTGTGTTGCGTTGGTGTATAGTTGTGTTGCGTTAACATGTGGTTGTTTTGCAGGTTAGTGTTGTGAGTCGTGGAGGAGAGAGTGAACTGAGACTGGCTAAAGTCTCCCTCGCGGCCTCTGGAAACTACACATGCGTTCCTGCTAACGCCAGACCTTCCTCTATAACCCTCCATGTTATCACAGGTGATCACAGGTTCCTCTATGTTATCCTTCCTCCATGTTATCACAGGTGAGACCTTCCTCCTCCTCCAAAACCCTCCACGGTATATCGGATTAATCACCGGAGAATATTGTTGCATGTTGCAATTGTTATCCAACCTTTGAAGAGCATCATAGCGTTATGAATACTCTGTGTTGCCATTCATCATATCTCTCCCACTCCCAGGCTCCCTCCCACACGCCTACTCTCCCATAGTAATACATCTTCCTTCTCATACTCCTGAAGGGGACTGTTTCCTCCTTCTTCATCATGGAGACAATGAGGAAGTACTGTTGGAGTATACATACTCCAACCTACAGCATGAATACTATATTCCTTCAGCCAATAATATACAAACAGTATCCCTTCATCCATATACATATATATTATATAGTGCACTTATAAGGTTCTCTATATCAAATTTCACTACTTTCATTTCAATTGCATTCTCAACCAAACTAAAATAATTAAATTCCACTAAAACGAAGCCTTTCCAATTAGACAATTCGTTATATGAAGCTAAAATTAGATCAAATCTCTGTAATTGGACATTTATCCCCAGGTGAAGCCTGTCATAAATGCATGACAGGTGAAGCCTGTCAAATATGCATGACAGGTAATGACTGTTTGATGAATAAGTTATGATTGTTTCCTGACAGGTGAGGCACCGGCAGCCATGCAGCGGGCAGCGGCACCTCCCCTACACAGCGCTTACACCGTGGCACTGGCTGCTGGCACTATTGTTATACTGAGTTTGTGAATCTATAGGTGGTGCCAGAAGGTGCCAAATGGTGTCAAGTAATACCACGTGACACCAGGCAGTGACGGGGAGTGGTGATGGTGGTGGTTTTGGTGGTGGTTGCAAGTATTGTTAGGTGGTTATTGGCCGTAATATGCATTGCCATATTGCACAAAGTAATGCCCCTTATGGTGCCAGATAAGGCCTAATGGTAGCATTGATTGTAAACAGCTGACAATTAAGACAGTACCAAGATGTGGTAGATTGTAAAATACGGCGCCAAAGTGGTAACAGACATCAAGACCGATTGTGCCAATTAGCAAACAATTATTCCAATTAGCCTGAAACTGTACCAGGTGACGTCAGAGGGTCAAGTGAAGTCTTAGGCAAAGCAATATGATATCAAGTGACTGCACTCAGTGGAAGGAGCTCAAAGTATACATGTGATTCATGGTGTACAAATTCCCAGGTGTACAGGACAAGTTATACAGGTGAACAGGTGTATAGGGGTTAATTAATTGCACTGTATGAAAACAAGTATATCAGTTCAGGTGTGTGGGATTGTATGTGTTCATATATATATATATAAATATATATATATATATATATATATATATATATATATATATATATATATATATATATATAATGTATATATGGCAGCTGTGCCAAAAGATATATATACCTGTGCACTAGAAGAGTTGAGCAATAGCAAAGGTATCCAGAACAGGTGCTCAAGACGAGGGTGTTGTAGAAACGCGATATAGGACAAATGTGCTTCATGATATATTAAGGCATCAGTGCAAAATGATTGTGTGCGACATAGATTTTATTTTTTTGGTTCGGGGGGATGTGTGTGGGGGTCTGTAAGATGGGTGGAGTTGAGACATGGTTAAAAAGGTGTAGATGTGTTTGAGAGGTAAGGTAATATCTGCAGGAAAAGGTTCGCACGCAAAGGCTAGTTCTGGTGGTGAAAAGGAAGGATAGAATAAGCCATGAATAATAAAAATGGCTCTTCGCTAAATATTCTACGAAAGAGCTCCAGAATATATCATTCGTAGATGCGGTGGAAAATATTTTTGTGATGGAACTTTTCATTGCAGCTATTTTGGAATGAACAATTATCGGTGGCCACTTTGGAATGGACAGCTGAAGGTTGCCACTTTGGAATGAACAATTACTGGCAGGCACGTTTTAATGAACCAGTGATGGGGGCTACTTTGGAATGAAACGTTGACATGGATCCATTTTGGAACCAAATGGTAATCCTAGCGAAATTATTTTTATCAGTGACTACTTTGGAATAAGCTTCCCACTGTGACCACTTTGGGGGGAAAAGCTGTTGTACGAAATGTGGAATAAAGCTTTGCTGCCTAAAACTACTCCGAAACAAACCGCTGCTCTTGATTACGCTGTGCAAATTGCTACATGTGACCAATATGGAATAAAGAGCTAATTGTGAAGACTGCGAACTAAAACGTTAGTTTTTTTGTACAACTGTGAAACTAATTACTGCTTGTGATTCATAGGAACAAAAATAAAACACTGTGGGTAACTACTGTGGAGGACAATATGCTCATAACTACCACTTTGGAAGGGGGAAAAAACTCTCTAGTGACCAAAGTGGATTCCAACCACCACTGATCATTGCAGTGTAAGATGTTATTTCATGTGGCCACGTTGGAACAATCATCCATTGACCACTATGGAGCAAACTACCACATTTAGCCACTATGGAACAATCCACCGGAGCTGACCTCTGTGGAACATTGTACCACAGATGACCATTCTGGAGTCTTCTACCACAGTTGGTCCACTGTGGAACAAACTATCAATCGACACATAATAAATTGCTACTGTTAAAAAATTTTTCTTCTTTAGTAAGCGTGTTAAAATAAATATGTTTCTAATGTATGAGATTTTATAAAATGTGATTTTTATTACCCTAAATTTTTACTTTCAACGTGAAGAATATATATTATATAATATATATTATATATATATATATATATATATATATATATATATATATATATATATATATATATATATATATATATATGTCGTACCTAGTAGCCAGAACGCACTTCTTGGCCTACTATGCAAGGCCCGATTTGCCTAATAAGCCAAGTTTTCCTGAATTAATATATTTTCTCTAATTTTATTCTTATGAAATGATAAAGCTACCCATTTCATTATGTATGAGGTCATTTTTTTTTTATTGGAGTTAAAATTAACGTAGATATATGACCGAACCTAACCAACCCTACCTAACCTAACCTAACCTATCTTTATAGGTTAGGTTAGGTTAGGTAGCCGAAAAAGTTAGGTTAGGTTAGGTAGGTTAGGTAGTCGAAAAGCAATTAATTCATGAAAACTTGGCTTATTAGGCAAATCGGGCCTTGCATAGTAGGCTGAGAAGTGCGTTCTGGCTATTAGGTACGACATATATATATATATACATATATATATATGTCGTACCTAGTAGCCAGAACGCACTTCTCAGCCTACAATGCAAGGCCCGATTTGCGTAATAAGCCAAGTTTTCATGAATTAATGCTTTTTCGACTACCTAACCTACCTAACCTAACCTAACCTAACTTTTCCGGCTACCTAACCTAACCTAACCTATAAAGATAGGTTAGGTTAGGTTAGGTAGGGTTGGTTAGGTTCAGTCATATATCTACGTTAATTTTAACTCCAATAAAAAACAATTGACCTCATACATAATGAAATGGGTAGCTTTATCATGTCATAAGAAAAAAATTAGAAAAAATATATTAATTCAGGAAAACTTGGCTTATTAGGCAAATCGGGCCTTGCATAGTAGGCCAAAAAGTGAGTTCTGGCTACTAGGTACGACATATATATATATATATATATATATATATATATATATATATATATATATATATATATATATATATATATATATATATATATATATATGGGCTGCAGAATTTGTTGAGTTAAGCAAGTTACAACACTGATGAGCTAGTTACCTAGTTTATCTACAAACACAGATCATTGAAATCTTCATAGATCTTCAAACTAACATCACCTTGACCTCAAGCGGTCATATTATAAATAGCGAGAGTTAGTTGAGCAATTACATACAATTTAAATTTGTTTAACAAGCACTCGACACCCATCCAGTGAGCGGTAATTGAAAGATTTACAGTCATCTTTAACCACTGCTCCAGTTAGCAAAATGGGGATAATTAGCTAATATTTCCGGTTGTGGATAATTTTGAATGAAATACACATTTTTTTATGCATGTGTTTGAGAGTTATGTCCAAAATCGTGTATTTTCCCACAGTTTCTCACCAAGTGACGGAGGATATGCGGTTAATTTTTCTGACACAGTTTACAGTTGGTCAACATCAGAAGGTAAGGCAAATTCCCAGAAATACTTATAAAAACAAAAGATTTGAAGAAACTGCAGAAGGCCTAATAACCCATATGTAGCAGCTCCTATTTATATCTACCCAAAATCATTCATATATGTGTCTAACCTACGCTTGAAACAGTAAACTAACCCCACATCCATTATTTTCCGGTAATCTGTTTCACAAATTTCCTAGCTGAACATATGAGTCAAAAAGGTCAGAAGCTCTCAAAGTACTAAGAGTGATCTCAACACTGATCTTCATAAGAAACCAAATTGCAAAGCTTGCAATTTGCAGCTGCAATTACAACTTGTAGAAAACAAAGCCAATTTCTATATCCAATATATTTTTTACCTGTCAAACTACCATCTATTTTTGCTGTTACTAAAAATTCAATTATGGAATCTCTAAGGAGGCTTCCTCCTGTGTATTGTATGGGGCTTCCTCTTCACCCTTTCCCGAATGTTGCCTCCCCCTTGTGTTGCTTGACGCAACACCTCCTACCGCCCGACTCTGTCAGTCAACGCATTAGTTTCAGGTCAAATTGTATCATTATTAAAGTACAATGCGCAACTAAATTAATATAATAGTTTTTTTTTACCGTTTTAGCGGAGTATTTTTATATGGAATTTAATGTAAAAATATGCAAATGACCGTAACATGTTCGGCTCTCAGCTGTGGCTGTCTGGGTGGTTGTTTAACTGGATTGTGTCTGCTGGCGAGCTGTGTCTGCTGGCGAGGTGTGTCTGCTGGCTCATTGTGTCTGCTGGCTCATTGTGTCTGCTGGCTCATTGTGTCTGCTGGCTCATTGTGTCTGCTGGCTCATTGTGTCTGCAGGCTCATTGTGTCTGCTGGCTCATTGTGTCTGCTGGCTCATTGTGTCTGCTGGCTCATTGTGTCTGCTGGCTCATTGTGTCTGCTGGTGTGCTGTGTCTGCTGGATCATTGTGTCTGCTGGCTCATTGTGTCTGGTGGCTCATTGTGTCTGCTGGCTCATTGTGTCTGCTGGTGTGCTGTGTCTGCTGGATCATTGTGTCTGCTGGCTCATTGTGTCTGCTGGCTCATTGTGTCTGCTGGCTCATTGTGTCTGCTGGCTCATTGTGTCTGCTGGTGTGCTGTGTCTGCTGGATCATTGTGTCTGCTGACTCACTGCGTCTCCTGGCTGTTACTCATTACGACACAAGAGATCTCTTACTCCCTCCCTCCTTCTTTCTCCTCCCTCCCTCTTTTACCTCACTCACTCCTTCTCTCTCACTCATTCACTCTAACTCTCTCTCACTCACTCACTCACTCACTCCCTCTCTCTCCTCACGGGTATGACACAACACTCTCTCCCCTCCCCCTCTCTCTCCCCCATCCCCAAAGACTTTATTAATTTAAGCAGTCAGTTTTAATCACATTGAATCCCTAATTATAATAAATATAAATTAATTGATTGTTTTTCTGCATAATTGCAATATTTATCAACAGAAGTGATTAAAAGTATACCCAATGTATATCACATAACAGCTGTCATGTTGCCAGTCGATGGTCCTGTATACATGTTGCAAGCTATTGCAGTAATGGCGCTCGTTAAATGGGTCCCAGATGTTGCTCTTGCAAGCATGTTGAAGCCTGTTGCACTAAGGGTGCTTATTAAAGAACCCAGGTGTTGTTAGACATGCAATCTTGCAATGCTGCTGTTCTATTGCTTAGTTTGAAATAATTGGCAGTAGAGTGTAGTGGATTTGATTGTTCAACTGTTCAACAGATCCAACTGTTCAATCAACTGCCTCGCTCTGTCTGTTGAGGACTCAGTGTCACAGATCTCTTGCTGTGACACTGTGTAATGTTTGCACCATTACTGTGCAAGCGTTGCATTGATTCTTGGCATTACAGGTGAAGATCTTGGAATTATATTTCCATATTTACCCGAGGAACTGCTGCCTCTCTAGTGGCCTCGACGAAGGCAGGAAGCTATTGGGCAACTCATGGCTGAGTGCATGCAAAATACACGAATGTTGGCCCACTCATTCACTCTAATATCAGAGCACAGCTTATCACATATGATATAAAGTTTGTCTACAGTACATAACCTCCCTTCACACATTTCCATTCAAAAGAAATAATAAAATAAACGGATATAAGAACTCAGGCAGGTGGCGACTGCTAGACATTCCAGTTCCTTGTTACGTATAGGTAACCACCGC